TTCACTACTTAGCTACTATGGTTTTGCTCCCTCCTCTGCAGCTGTGTTGTTTTGGTCTTTTTAGAATCATAGTCTATCACTAAGTGATTATTAATTATTAAATCAATCATACAGAGAAGATGTGGCTGTTGCATCAGAGTGTGTGTGTGTGAGTGAAAGAGAGAGAGAGAGAGTGAGTGTGTGTGAAAGAGAGAGAGAGTGTGTGTGTGTGTGTGTGTGTGAGAGAGAAAGAGAGTAAGAGAGAGAGTGTGTGTGTGAAAGAGAGAGAGAGTGTGTGTGTGTGTGTGTGTGTGAGAGAGAAAGAGAGTAAGAGAGAGAGTGTGTGTGTGAAAGAGAGAGAGAGTGTGTGTGTGTGTGAGAAAGAGAGTAAGAGAGAGAGTGTGTGCTTGTGTGTGAAAGAGAGAGAGTGTGTGTGTGTGTGTGTGTGTGAGAGTGAAAGAGAGAGAGAGAGAGTGTGTGTGTGTGAGAGTGAYAGAGAGAGAGAGTGTGTGTGTGTGAGAGAGTGTATGTGTGAGAGTGAAAGAGAGAGAGAGAGTGTGTGTGTGTGTGAGAGTGAAAGAGAGAGAGAGTGCGTTTATGTGTGAGAGTGAAAGAGAGAGAGAGAAAGAGTGTGTGTGTGTGAGAGTGAAAGAGAGAGAGAGAAAGAGTGTGTGTGTGTGAGAGTGAAAGAGAGAGAGAGAGAGTGTGTATGTGTGAGAGTGAAAGAGAGAGAGTGTGTGTGTGTGTGTGTGTGAAAGAGAGAGAGTGTGTCTGTCTGTTTTGTTGTTGTTGGATAGTTGCGGTTCACACTCCAACACAGTAGGTGGCGATAACGCGCCAGATCGTTGGTCGCCACCCGCCATTAAACGGAAAGACAAGATACGGAAGTGACCTCATCGCCTTCTCCTGTGTCTCACACGGAAATTGATCTGTCAACAAACTACCGTCATCTGCTTTTTTGAATGTGTCTGTTTTATTTCCCTCTTGCGACAGACACATCCAAAGGTCCACAGCATGGAGTGCAGGTCTGTGTTCAGACAGTGAGGCTGCCTCGGTCAGCTAGAGCTACACCTCCAGCGGCAGCTAACACAGAGAGCTGTTTCCACAGGGTGGGACAAGCGGCGTGTTTACGTTACGTGTGGGACACCTCGCTGATTTAACAGCCTCCAGAAAATGGCCTGCACTTTAGACAAAGTGTTGGGCGACGCTCGGACCCTTCTGGAGAGGCTGAAAGAGCACGACACGGCCGCAGAGGGACTCATAGAACAGTCCGGGGCCCTGAGCCAGAGAGTGCAGGGCATGAGGGAGGTGGGGAACGACCTCCCAGACAAGGTGAGGACGACTGGTCTCAACACAGAGACATGTCATTAAAGTCCTGAGACACGGAGTGCTGCACTGCACAGAGGCATCCACACACAAGAGCTCCAACAGGATTCAGCCGAGCTCTAATTTACCCAACCTCTTTAAACTACATGATTTCATTGGGAATATTTATTCACAAAATACATTTTCAGTTTATAATTTCTGTTGTGTTCCATCGTCATTTACTTTAACCCAGTAACATCTATACTGATGCTTACATCCCTGCAGAAATCCTGTTAGTTACAGCTCCAGACTCTTCATTGTTACTCACTTACTGCTGTGAAAAGAAGTAACTCAAGTTAAATTTGTTACCTCAATTACTCAAATGAGTCAATAATCTGCATGAGTGTCCTTCAACTTTCTCAGATTACTCTTTCATGTGTTTTGTTGATGTGCAGATGTAAGATATCTATAATGACATGTCAGTCCCTTATTTCTGACTGTATTATATTTTATTTCACCAATTATTGTGGCGGGAGGGGGTTGATTTTATAAAATGCATCACATCCCTCGCTTTGTGAAAACACATCTCGTATTACTATGTTAACAACCACAACACACACATATATGAAGTTGATTTGATATTAAAACTGAGAAAGCTTTACTATTGATTTTCCTCTCTTCATCACTCTCCCCCCTCAGCACACAGAAGACAGTTCTGAGATTCAGGAGCTTACCAAATACAAGCCCCACGTTCTTCTGACTCAGGAAAACACTCAAATCAAGGAACTACAGCAGGAGAATAAAGGTGAAAAACAAACCCACTCACTTCTGTTGATTGTACGTCTGGTTTTATATGTTTGTTTTTTTTCAAACCCTCTTCACGACTGTCTCTGCAGAGCTATGGTTGTCCCTTGAAGAACACCAATACGCGCTAGAGTTGATCATGGGTCGATACCGCAAACAGATGCTTCAGCTCATGATGGCAAAGAAGGAACTGGACACCAAACCAGTGCTTAGCCTGCACGAGGACCACGCTAAAGTACACTGGCTTTCTGCATTTGCTCAGTCATTCACAGGACAGGAGTAAACATTGAGACATGTAAAGTTAGAAATGTGCAGACCTGAGGATCAATACTTTGCATTGTGATTCTGCAGGAAGTGCAGAACCAGGTGGAGCGAATATGTGAGATGGGCCAGGTGATGAGAAGAGCAGTGCAGGTGGATGATCAGCACTACTGCTCTGTTCGAGAGAGGCTGGCTCAACTAGAGGTGAGCTCAGTAACTGCAGATGTTTCTCTAAATGTGACCCCACAAAACATTACCAAGCAATGGCAAGGTAAACACTTATGTGGTTTATAAGGAAAACTTAAATAGAAATGAAAATGACAAAAATAGCCCAGCGGGTTAAAGAAACTACTTATTTATTTCTTTTTTCTTTAGAAAATAGTTCCAGTGATAACTATTCACAGCAATGTTTCTAGATTACCCTGTGAAAAAGAGACTGTTTCTAGAAGCAGGTGTCACGGTTTGTTTGATTTTTAATTTATCCCAGATATACCTGCTTACAGGTCATTTCTCAATGCTGTAAGTGCCATAGATGTTATCAATTGACCACGGCTGAAGGGATTTCTAAATATACATATCTGGAAACATAGATTATGAAAAACAAAACTGTTGTCCAGATTCCAGTAGAGTTTAAGTTTGAAATGAAATGTATATTTCTTGTGTGTTTGCATCAACTGACCCTTTAACAATCAGTACTGCACGAGTACGGTTTTCATGCAATGTTATCCTGTCATGTTCAGATTGAGAACAAGGAGCTGCAAGACCTCCTGGCCATCAGCAAGAGCTCCGTGAAGACAGCGAGAGAAGAACCTGACCAGCCAGCAACAGTAGCACAAGAACAGTCCCCTCAACCAGAGTCCAACGAGTGACCAGAGCAGCTTCAGCGTGAACTGTGAATGAGGAAACAAGTCCTTCAGGACCAGGAGACAGGGTTGATGATCTCTTCAACTGTGTTCACCACATTGTTTTTATTTTCTTATTAAAGATGGGATGCGGTCAGACCACAGCATCTGTTTTGTAGCAAAGGCCACTCTAACGCATCATTGCCTATCAGCAGCATTTACCTGTGGTATAATTGGATGGTAGCTCTCTCATATGTACATTTCACGTATGTACACACACACACACACACACATGCACGTACTGGAGGCAGCAAAAGCAAAGGGGATTTATTTTGTTTTTTGCCAAAGATGCATTTGCTCGTTAAGGACAAAGTTTCTACCTCTTTGTTGCCCCTTTGCTGTTCACTCCCATTCACATTGTGTAAAATAATCATCAACATCCTGCTACGACTTCACTCGATGGAAACTGATGAAATCTACTTGTAAGTTGCTCCATCTGAAGAAGCAGTGCTTGATAATCACTTTGCCAACATGATGACTTTTGGCTGTTTCACACAGTTTGCCTGCTGAGTAGTGACAGTGGATCATTTATGTGATCGTCTATCATTTTATGAATTTGATACATTTGTCTAGTACTTAAATTGAGTGTCTTAAACACCAGTTTTCTAGTTTTGGATGCAGAGTATTCAAATGTACCAGCTGATGGCACATCTTTATTTATGGTAACGATTTCGGAATATGCCAATCTTCTGTTTGAATAGATATTAAATGTTTGTGCTCTGTATGTTCTCAGAAATTGTATATTGTCATCTCAGGAAATCAGTGTTAGGGTGAACATGCTGTAATGACTTCATGACAGTGTACTGATGTGTCAAACTAAATTTCATTCAAAAACTTTAAAATAAATTTTTAATAAATGCAATAATTGTGTATCTGTGAATGTTTTTCTCCCTCATATATACTCACAGAGTCTTTGGTTAGGAACACCAATAAACCAATCATGTGGCAGCAGACTGATGCTTACAGTCATGCAGAACTAGGTCAAGAGACTCAATGTGATCTTAAAATGTGACCTCCGTGGCTGACAGTAGATGGTAGGGTTAACATCACTTATGATTTAATGGACACAAAATGCCTTGTATCAGCAGTTCAGGCTGCTGGTGGTGTAGTTGAAAGGGCAACGTCTTCCTGCTATGTTTGGGCACTCAGTACTGCACCTGACACAGAGAAATAATACCTAGGTGCGATATTACTTTGTTTTTTCATTTATAATATGTTATTTATTTCATACAAATATTACTCCTAGTATAGTAACTACTTACTGCCACTTAAGTATTAGTTTAGTCTCTCTCATTACTTATTTTTCATTTCTGTTGTCATTAATGCACTTTACATTTTGTATTTATTTTCAATGATAGATTTGTTTAGACTTCTTATTAATGCTTCTATTAAGACTCTTAATACTGATGTATTCTAATGAACTCTATTCTACGTGTATATTGTGGTAATGTAATATTGGAGCAAGCTGGAACCAGAATTTCCCTCTGGATTAATAAAGTCTATCTTCTCTTAACCACAGAAAGTGCAGAGGACCACACATTAGCCATGGAGGCCCATACGTGTCAGGTAATAACTATTTATACAGATTTAATGTAAATGTAATGATAAATGCTACAAACCAAAATTAGACTCATTTACACCGGTGTCCGCTTCATTTCTGCACATTTAATTCTTTACCACACGATGGCGACAGTGAGCCGCGTAGCTTGCGTGTAACGTATCGCGAGGTTTGTAAGAGCAGCTCAATGCTGCGTTCACGTGCAAAGCATCAGACGGGCTTTTCGTCTGTTCGGGAATTGTCTCGTTTACTTCATCAACAGCATTTATTATACTGGGTTACACGTTTAAAAAGCGTAACCCCCTAAAGAACCCCTCTCCTCCTCCTTCTTCTTCTTCTTCTTCGTCTCCACTCGTTTGTTCCCGCGCACCGAGCCCAGCAGTTTGTGTCCGGCAGGCCGTGAACGCAGCGGCACAGTTGACACCTCGCCTTGACTCGAGCTAACGAGCAGCATGTCTGAGAAGGAGCTGGGGAAGAAGTGGGACCGGTGCCTGGCAGACGGGGCCATCAAACTCGGTAAATATCCCCGAGTGTTCCACGTGTAACGACGCCGTCATTTCCCGGAACCAGCCAAAGAACGAGCAGAGTTTCCACTGTGTTCCACTGCTGTCATTGGGAGGGAGGGAAGCTAACTAGCTAGCACCAAAGGACTTACAAAGGACAAGTGAATGACCAGACACACGTAGGAGTATTCGATTTATTGTGACACGAGAATCAGGCTTAATCATGTACTTTTATTTATAAAACACGAGCATCGGTGCTTGTTAGCTTTGTCTTTCTCTTATGTGTGGCTGTTGGAAAGTGCCCAAGAGGAAACGTCATTCAGGAAATGTTTTCTTGCCTTATTTACATCTGTGCTGCGACATTTTCTAAACACCAACACGTGTATTTAATGCTATGTTAACACTGTCTCAGGTTGTAGCTCCACTGGGTTTATATATATATATATATATATATATATATATATATATATATATATATATATATATATATATATATATATATATATATATATATATAAATTAATAATTGAGCTGCAGTGGCGGATCTAGCACTTTTCCAGATCACAGAGGGGCCAATTATAAATCCAACATCCATGAACCATGAGTCATTCAGAAAGGTGCACTTTTAATTCAGTCCTTGTTGCTTTGAGCAAAGACACCCACCATTGAATATACTCTGAAGATTTTCCCTGGTTCAAGCAGAGTATGTCCTTAGAAAATAAAATATATAATTCTCAACAAATTGTCATTTATTGTCAGTATTCTTAGCAAGTGACTAGTTTACTTCAAGAAGACCACTGACAGGACAGGGCCACTTCAGGGGCCAATCAGCCTGACTTAAGGAAACGCTGTATAAACTTATTAGTCAGCTCATGGTTTGGAAGGGGAGGGTGAGGTGGGGTGGGGTGAGATGAGGTGAGGGGTGTTCAGCTGCAACATGAAACTTCACCACTAGATGTTTTTAAACTCTACACACTGAACCATTAGGTCAGCACATGCTCACAATGAATGGCAATAAAAGAATAGGTGTTAAAGATACTTTGTTGACTGTATCACTTCTTTCTTTCTTCAGGCACTGGACTGGGGTTAGGAATCGTGTTTTCTGTTCTGTTCTTTAAACGTAAGTAGTTTGAATGGGTTGGTGCTGCAGTGCATCTTGACTCTTTAATTTAGCTCTCAGGTCCGTTCCAAGACGAGAAGAGCCAGCCGTGAAAGGCTTATGTGCGTCACACCTAAATGAACAAATAGTTCAGTGATAATTCATCGAGAATCTTTAGCGCTTTTGTTTCTCAAAAGCTTAAAAAGAAAAAAAAGAATGTGTATAAAAAGAAAATCATATTGTGAAGAGTTGTTTATTTTAGTGCATGAATACATTTAAAGCCCCTGTTTCATTTGCAGGGCACACATGGCCGATATCATTCGGCTCAGGAGTGGGACTTGGCATGGCATATGCCAACTGTCAGAATGACCTCAGGTCACATTATGTGCTGCAAAGAAGAGAAAAGGTTCGTTTGCAATACAATATTAAACAGGTTACAGAAAAAAATCCTCAGTTCTATCTCAGAGTAACAATCCCATTTTACTGCTCATGTAAATCAAAATGTATGTAACTGTTTTCTATTTTCTTTAACAGGAGCAATAGCTGCAAGTCAACGAGGGACTGTCTTTTTTATTGTTTTGAATTTGTTCTTTTGGTTTTGACTGTGGGAGACCAGCCATTTGCACTGTTTTTCAGTTAGATTCATATCTCCTGTTGATCGGTCCATCCCGAGTATGACCCAGTATGATTGTATGTGCCTAATCAGGACAGTCTGTGTTTATTTAATAAAACAATTATAACAACAAAAAATGATGCCCTGGTATCAAGTTCTTTCCTGAGACTCTGATTCTGACCTATTTATCAGTTGGCCAATAAAAGTTTGCCCATATGAGCCTTTCGCAGACACATTGGTACCTGCATTTATATTTACCAATATGCACAGAAAACCTTTATTTTACAAAATAAACTTGTACCTGTTCTATATATTTAGCTGTATTCAAATATCTATGTCCATATCGATGATGCTCGAACAAACCCATTTTAAACCATAAAGCAGTAGACAATAATTATGTGATGAATTATAATTCATTCATTAGCCTGACTACAATTCATACAGTCCTAGCTGTAGTGGTGGTACTTGAAAGAGTAAAAGGAGTCAAGTGTCAGTGAAGTTAAATTTTTTTCGGTTTATTTGTGAGGGCATGTGGGAGTGATTTTCACAAATATGTCAGGGAGGAAGGGGGGCAGCAATGCAAACGCTCTCCCAACAGGTGGTGGGTCTGGTGTGGGTGAAGGGGGGGGGGGTTAGCAGCAGTTGAGCGGATGAGGCTGATGACTGGGGCGTAATGATGGAGATGAGTCATGAGGGGGCATGAAAATGAAAAAAACAAGTTTTGTTTTGTTTGGTATTTGACAAGGTTGTTGAAATACTGGAGTGCACTGGACTTTGCCTTGAGAATGAAGTGGTTTTATGTTCAGTATTCAAGTGCTCCTGTCTGCAAGTGAATTATTACTGTTGTCATACCCTTTTGTTTAGCTGGAGGGGAAGTTGGAACAAGGTGAAGTTACTTTCAAAATGCTGCTAGAACAAAGAATGTGTTGTTTTTTTTAAATAATTGAAAATACAAAAAAATACTTTAACCTTTATTGACTACTTACATAAGGGCTCCTTGATACAAATATCAAGCTTTTAAGTTCAGAACGGAAGTTCTTTTGCTTTTTTGTTGCTGAGAACACAAAACAAAGAACTTTGTAGTCAGACCATTTATTCTTTAAAGCACCTCAATTACCATGAGTGGTGCAGCCAACTGGGTGACAGATTGCATTTGCAGGCTGTGTACAGATCTATTATCAAGATGTGATGGGTGGTTTGTAGTTGCATGCACTAGCAACAGCAGCTGTCAATAACTGCTTCAATTAATCAATAAAGTAAAAAAACAAACTATTTATTGTATTTCTAAGGCACGACTAGAGAGAAAAGAAAAACGCTTCATTATTATTAAATCTTGCAGATCATTAAAACTTTAAATATACAAGGAGGTACATTCTATTTACAGGTCTCATGGAGTTAGACTTGACTTATAGTTATAACAATTCATACACTCAGTCCTTTTTGAAAATTTTGCTTAAAACGCAGGTGAAATCTTACAAATCAATGCTGTAGTTGTACTTAAATAGATAAAAAATGTCATGGCCATACACAGAGAAAGACCACCCACACTATGATGCAGAATGAGCATGTCTTGGCTGTGATGGTGCATGGTTATGCATTAGCAGCTCAATGCTTTGACACGCTCCTTCTCAGTAGGCGTGCGCTCAGGCTGGGATGCACACTGGAGTGGCCGACAAAGGGATTAACGGGAATCGAGGGATAGAAAGGCAGCATCTCAAGGACCATGATACCTGTAGAGCACTTGTGAATGGAGCTTTGCTGCCGAGCGACTGCTGCACACTTTTGTGTTGGTTTCATGCTCCCCCCCGTGCTGTTCCCCCAGAATAAAAAGGTCTGGTGAAAAGGCAGCAGCACAGCAGCTCAGCAAAGGACTTGAGGAAATATTCGGAGAATTGTCTCCGATAGTTCCTTTCGCCGGCACGTATGCCTCATCTCTCTGTGTGCCCTCCTCCTGTGACTGTCATCGTTGTGACATGCTGCTTCGTAACCCTCTGTCAGCCCTTGAATGGCTCATTCTGGCTCTGAGCTGTGGATGAGGCAGGGACACGCAGGAGGGGATGGAGAGATGAGTGAAAGTCTGTTTATTTTGGTCACTATACTGGTGGCAGTGGAAGTGAGCCCGGGACACCTGGATGTATTCCTGCCAAAGGGAGATGGAAATACTAATTCATGGCGAACAGTCCGATTGACCTTGGCAGGGAGAGGATCAGATGGCTTCTCAACGCAAGACCTCTTTGTCTTCTCTTTGTTCAACAATGCTCATGAAGTGAGAGCTTTGGCTGGGAAGGAGCACTGGTTAAAGTCTGTAACCTAAAGAGGAACGTCAGGAGCTCGTTTATCGATCGCTTGGAACTGGCACCATGGCTGACTCTCACTCGTCTGGCTCTGTGGGAAGCTACAACAGCAGCTTTCCCACCACCAGTGCATGGAACATCACTGGCAGCGGCCCGTGGCTGTTGGCCTTCATGCTGACTGCCATCATCCTCATGACAGTCTGTGGCAACATGTTGCTCATCGCTTTGGTGTTCGCCCATCGCTCTTTGCGCTGCACCTCAAACTGCTTCTTGGTGTCTTTGTTCCTGTCTGACCTAATGGTGGCACTGGTGGTGATGCCCCCAGCCATGCTCAATGTGCTGTGTGGGGCCTGGGTGTTGTGGCCCGCATTTTGCCCGATTTGGCTTTGCTTTGACGTGATGTGCTGCAGCGCATCCATCCTCAACCTGTGTGTGATCAGCCTGGACCGTTACCTCTTCATCATCTCACCGTTGCTCTACAAGCAAAGGATGACCCCACCTCGGGCGTTACTCCTCGTGGGAGCTGCTTGGGGGCTGGCAGCACTGGCCTCCTTCCTGCCCATTGAGATGAGATGGCACAGCTTAGGCCTCGGGAGTGGACACTCACCTGTTCCGGGCGTCAGCAGTAGCAACATCAGCTCCTACTCTGACACACTGTATCCAGCGTCCTACTTTCAGCTGTCACCAGCAGGAGGCCTTTCCTTCCAGTGCCGCCTGCGGGTCACCCTGCCCTTTGCTCTCGTGGCATCTGTGCTCACTTTCTTTTTGCCCTCCAGCGCCATTTGTTTCACCTACTGCCGGATCCTTCTGGCAGCACGGAGACAGGCAAAGAGGGTTGCAGCTCTGAGTCACCCACCGCACCCACACCCCTCTCTTGGGGAACCGTCCAGGCCTCCTTCACCTGGGATCGCAGCCGCACAAGCACAGCGGGATGGAGATGATTGTGGGTACCAGGAACCTCCTGTGTCACAAAATGCACCGGTAAGAAAAAGAGCTCAATCCGAGGACATATAAGGACCTACACCCACTTTTCATCTTCTGTGTTTTCAAAGTTCAGAAGTACTACTGTGTACATGTGTGTGTGTTGTCTGGGTTGATCACTGGCTGTCTGCAAGAAATGGAAGATGAAGATGCTCTAAAACATTTGTTCATCATTATCAGGCTCTTAAAAAGGAAATGTTTCAGAGGAGGCACAATCTGAAAAATGTCGATCATCTTAACCGAGGAATGTATAAAAGATGAGACTGTAAAAAACAAGAGGTGTAATCATGGTGGGAAAAGCACAGACAGTCTGATCTGCCACCCCCATCTGCAAGGATAAGTCAGTCTCTTAGTCTGTCGCAATAAAATCTCTCTCTCTCTCTCTCTCTCTCTCTCTTTGTCTCTCTCTCTCTGTCGCTTATTTTCTAACTAATCATAGTCACTTAGTGGGGCAGCAATTACTTATACAACAACATCACAAATAATTATTAAAAACACATCTACTCATCAAACTGTGTGCAAAAAATGTTTCTGACTGTCCAAATTGTTTGACTATATGGAACACTACTGTGATGTTTTTGATGCTCTCCATATGAATGTACTGAGGCTTGTGTGGTGAAAAAACTCTATACCAGCCCTGCTGGTCAGCAAGAGACTCTGCTCCTCTGCTCTTTTCTTATCACTCATACTTAGAACATGTGTTTGTCTGCTCGTCTCTGTCTCACAAACTGACCATCACATTTATTTAGTAATTAATTGATGATGTCAGGTCATGAATCCAGATCATTCCGGTCACTGTAACCCTGATGTTCTGTCTGTACGTGTCACATCTCATCTCAGGTTGTGTCGTGTACAGATGAACTGCGTGCATGCAAAATGTTGGACTTTTTTTTAAATGAGTTTGAATAAATGTCTGGTAAAGTCAATCACTGATCATATGCAAAATAAATGTAATGGAAACCCTGTCTACCTAATACTGGACATAGTACACTTTTAAAAGACATTTTAATGACAATTAAAAGCAACAAGTCATTTTAAAAATATTTTGTCCTGAGACCCCCAGAATTTTGCTGTTTCAGGGGGTCTCAAGGGTCAATCAAGTATTTCGCACCCAGTATATATATAATCGTCATGAAACAATTTTTTACAATTTTGTGTTTTACAGTGAGACATGTATATCAGCTTTTCAGATGTTAGGTTTTTTTGCAACCATCAAATAGAGCCAGGCTCACTGTTTCCCTCCAGTCTTACCGGGTCTGACCCTTTAGTTCAGCTCTCTCAGCAAAAATGCAGACTCACAGTCTTATGACGTTGATTAATCATGAGTGTTATTAATTACAATTCTTTCCATTTTCTACTGTCACATCAGTCAGTGAACAGTGAGCGCCGTCTGGCTCGAAGGCAGGGCCGGAGGGCACTGAAGGCCAGTCTGACACTGGGAGTTCTCCTGGGACTCTTCTTCAGTGCTTGGCTTCCCTTCTTCATCACCAACATGGCTCAGGTCAGTAGACGCATCAGAAACCTGAGACACAGAAATGGAAAATGGAAAATACAGGTAACATGATATATCAGTGTTCATCTCATACGTCAAACAGATCACGGAACTGAGATAAAAGATCAGATCAAAGAGAACTGCTACTAATGCGCTGCCCTCCAGGACATCTAGCACATTTTACCATTAGTGTCAGAGGGGGAACAGAGAGGACCTCCTCCACTGACGAGGAGTGTTCAGTTGGGGAAAGCCCGATACTGGGGAAAAACTGATGGATGTAGGCCAGCAGCTTACAAACCCATCACAAATTGTCACCACCACCCACAAGCGGTTCTGGTACTATGGTCCAACACCCTGAGCCTCAGCTACTTCATAGAATTGACTGTATCCTGAGAGAATGCATTCGATGAAGCGAATGAGAGGAAGCGGCTGCGGTCTGCCCAGTGGATGTAGGCTGCAGGGGTTTTATCGCAATATGCAACTTCAAGAGCCAAGAATCCATCAAGAAGCCCTGCGCCAGACGATAGTAGAAATACCAGTGACTGCAGAATGCTGCAGCCAGGTCTGATCAGCCTGTGGCGGGCCTTCTTCGACAGAGGGTGTCTTGTGATTAAAAGGCCAAAATACCCAACGACACGAAGGTACCCAACTGATGATACATCCCTAACATCCCCTGGCGGTCGCTCACATCTTCTGCTGTTTGGCAACTTATCATCAAACGTACCAGGGATTTCTGACCATCTTGTTCTAAAGATGAGCCGTAAGGGCCAAATACCGGCTGTCTGTTCAGTTTGCCTTCACCTCTGTTCGCATGAGAGTGATTTACTAAAATGACCCAAACCTTTTAAAAAGTCTTGTTTGGAACAGCTCTCCCATTTCATGTATCTCAGTGAGTCAGAGGTTTTCTCACAAATACATGTGTGGCGAGCACAAAAAGAGTGTGAAATGTAAGAGAGAGAGAAAAAAAACAAAAAAACACTTGGATACCGATCTATTTTTTATTGGCCAGCCTTGTCTTGCCAAGCCATCCAATGAGGAAATAGATTGGCATTTCAGCATCGTGCAGCTGACTCATTCCAGAGCCCAGAAAACAAAAACACAGCAAACATTTATGATTGCTATTATTTTAAAGTTGTTGATTTTGACATGATTAGACTGAGCACACATACACACACCATTTCTCAGTGAACTGACAGGGAAATAATTTAATCTAAATTGGTAATGACACTTGCCCTGTTTTTCAAGCTTTCAATGATCCAGTCATTTTAATTTCCCATCTGTGCCCTCTCGCTTCTCCCCTGCATAACATGGAGCACAGACACTTGACTGTGTCTGTGCTCTTCTTCCTTTTCACACTCAATGTGGTGTGTGAAACTCACCCCTCCTTTCTGTCCTATTCCCACCGCCTCCCCGTCTCATCTTGGAAGTATTGGAAGCTCTCCTCTAACAGCTGCCTCCTCCTTCACTGTCCCTCTCTTAACCTGCTGGTTTTGTCTGAGTTCAGAGTTTTTATCGGTCAGAGGCAGATATATATTAATTAAATATGCATTTTGCCAAAAATAAATATGTAGGTTAAAGCTGCTCTTTTGGGTCATCTTAACTTTGTGTCCTTGAGGTCTAACAAATGAAGACATTTATTTCCTCATAAAACATTTGCAAGTCAGATTTTTTTCAAAATTTTAAATTGTGTGATGTTCTTGCCTATTTTTAGTGTCTTCTTCTTACTTTCATTTTTCAGCCCATTGCCAGATTTCTTGGCATGATACAGCACAATAGAAATGTTTGCATCACCTACATACATGTTTCCTCGTGCATGTTTCTGTTATTAGTTTTACATTTGACCTTCCATTGCTTGTTTATTCTTTTCCCCATCTTCATTCAGGCAGTGTGCGAGTGCGTCCCCCTCGCCCTCTTCGACGCCATCACCTGGTTGGGCTACTGCAACAGCACAATGAACCCCATCATCTACCCACTGTTCATGAGAGACTTCAAGCGAGCTCTAGGTAAGCTCTTACCCTGCTGCTCCTCGCAGTCGCCAAGGAGACCCTCGCCGGCCCTCTCCCTCTCTCTGCGCAACTCAGGAGAGCCCAACATTGCCAGCACCTCGCCCTCTCCCCTGGCCTCTGACCCCACACACCCCCCCGCCACCGCCACTGATGCTGTCAACCTGGTCGATGCCGAGCATGCTGGGATTGAGTTGCCTCTGCTTCTCCCCAATCAGGTTGAAACCCTGGATTGAATTGTAATTAGAAAAGTCACGTTGTGTCATGGTTTGTGGTGGAAAACAAGGAATGAGACTCAGTTCAGTTCATGGCAGTTCATGATTTACTCACCATGAGTTATGAGGTTAAAAAAAAAAATTCACATTTAAAAACGTATTTTTTATGACCACAGAAAAAAAGGATGAATGATCTCTACCTTATCTTCTAAGTGTGGCTGAAATCCAGCTATTTCCAGTTCCTGGAGCTTGTAAACAATGTCAGCGATGTTAACTCTCTATATTGGCTCTTTAGCAAGCAGTGCCTCACAATAGTGCCGGGGGAATAAAGAAAGAAAAGGCCTTGAAGAAGATACATTCACTGAATTCCCCGCGGCCTTATGGAAATCAAATTACTGTGATAATATCCATAGCAACGAATGCAAATCAGAGGGATGAGATATGACGTATATGGTGGCATCCACTGAAACCTGCAAAACACACAGTGTCCACAGGTATATGGTCTCACATTGAGTTTAAAAAATAAATTATTACATTATTTACAGTTTGTAAAAAATCTATTTCAGTTACAAAAATCAAATGACAATAAGGAATTAACACATATGTCAAAAACAAACAGTTTAGTGGTTGAACAAAGCAGTAATTGTGGGGTTTGTCACTTGAAGCTGCAATATGTGTGCATCGGCTCTGGCATGTCAGTGTGTTGCAAAGGGAATACATTTTTTCTCCAACAACTTCAGAGGATGAGAGTTTACATGGAAGCAGCTGGTCCAGTTACATACTCTTTACAAGTTTTGCTGCCTTTGTTCCTGCGTGTGCTCTGTTGTCCAGTGTGTATCATCCCAGCTCCACGATATGTGTTCATTATCCGGGTCGGCCTCCGCTACGCCGTCACACTGTGCATTAGAAGAAGATGCCGTGCCGTCATCAGTGTCATTCTCCTCAGATGCAAGTGGTAAATTGTTCCTCTCTGTGATTTCATTCTCTGATTCTGTGTCGGAGATCTGATTCTGATCAAGCAGGTCAGAGATATCGGTGATATCCCAGCCGTCACCTGACTCCTCCTCATTCTCCCCGTCCTCCTTCAGGTCTCCACTTTTCTCCGTCTCAGTCTCCTCAGCTGGGTTTTGTGTCTCAGTCACTTGGTGTTGACGGTGGGCTTGATCAGGAATATCCACTGTCCCTTCTCTAATCTTTACAGACTGAGGAAGAGTGAAGGAGGCTCCTGGCACTTCTTTGGTGGGAACACCGATCGCCACCAAGATGGTGTCCATCTGACGCATGTAGTCCAAGTGACCTTTTACCTGAGAATCAGAAACATGGCTTTAATGTATCTGACTAAAAAAAGGAAATATATTTATGTAAATTAGTGTGTAGTTTTTTTAAACATTTATTTTCCACAAAAAAAAAGTATTACTCTGAATGTATTTATTATTTTGTACAGACAGTTTTACTATTCCCCAGGTTTATACTGTATGGTGCTTCAGATATGTCCGTATGTTTGTACTGTTATTTTTTTATGTTCAGTTGTGGGAAATGTTAAACCTCTTTACCTTGTTAAAAAAATCAATTACCATGATATATAGGAAGTGTTCAGTTTCATATAGATAATTTCAGGGTGGCAGGAAGGCATTGCTGTGAAGTGAAAAGACCAGCAGGGGCCTTCATTTTTATTATTATACAATTTTTAAGTGTTACTGTCTCTTCTAAAGTGCTATTAAAATCATGTATTTAATTATACTGGATCATGAAATTATCTCATTGTAAAATGTTTTATATGAACCACTCAAATACCTGTGTTTAAAGCTGCACTAATCAATAATTTTTTATAGTAAAAACATGCAGTGTGTAAGATTTAGGTGAAAGGGATCTATTGGCAGAAATTGAACATAAAAAAATTCTAGTGATGTGTTCATCTAAATTTTACGAATGGTTCTTTTCTTTACCCTACAATCTACGGTGGCCCCCCTATGTTTTTACAGTAGCCCAGACACCTTTTGAGTTTTTATAACAACTGAAGGTTACCACAGGTTCTCTTTCATATTTGGAAGGAGAGGGTGAGGTGAGGGGTGTTCAACTGCAACACGCAACTTCACCACTGGATGTCACTAAATTCTACACACGAAACCTTTATATGATTATGTCACTCATATGGCTCCATATGAATCTGTTACAAAATGTGTAGATGTAGCTACAGATTGCATAACATTAACCATTACAACTTCCCAGTGATTACATGTCAGTATTGATGAATAACTATGGCAGAGCAGCTGAAGACACATTTTGCTGAAGATATATGTTGTCCATAATGTCAAATAGGATTGAGTCAGATCTTATTTCTTCATATTAATTAGCCGGGGAACCCTAGAATACAAAGTGAGGCTTGAACAGAGACAGTTTGAGATGGCTGCTGCGTGCGGTGGAGGTGAAAACCTTCAGGTTAAAAACATTCAGCTTAAATGCACCTGGAAATCTATTCTACTACTTCTGCTATTAAGGAAGCTTTAGTGGTCCTAATCTAAATATAAGCTCTGACTCACCACTGAGGAAAGGTCCACATTGATTATGCGCCGATCCTGGATGTTGATTGGCTGTAGCCCAGCAACAGAGAATTGTGCTGCCGAACTCCGGTACAAAAACCCCAGGAGCCAGTCCCCTCTATTAGACGGATAATTCAGAAAGTTTTGTACAGTCATAAATCTTGCTTTCAATAGAGTCTATTCACTGAAATAATGAATGTAATATACTGAATGATTAAACATCAAAGATATAGGGCATAGAGCCAGGATTCTGTTTTACCTGCAGTATCCGTTAACTATTTTTCCAGCCACTACCCTAGCCATTCTCTCCCAGGCCTTTTCAGAGCCATCCACTGGGGCCCCCAGGAGGACCACATCCTCCACTACGCCTTCACTCCCTGAGGAATCAACACCATGGAAATTTAATTAGTTAGTACAAACAATATAAAATACAAAGACTTCTGGAAAATCAGAAAAAAACTAATGAGGTTAATTGAAATTTGATTACACAGCGTATAACCATAATTAAATAATTTAGAGCCATTAACATTAAAAAGTGTGCTCTGCTAGGCCTTTAAGTCATGAAACAGCCCAGGAATGTCTGGTGCAGTACTGGGCATTTTAAAAAGTAAAAGGATTGGAGCATTTTTTTTTGTCAGCATAAGGAAAAAAAACCTGATTACAATTAAAATCACAATACCATTTTTTTGTGAAGCAACAGTGCTCGTACCTTGGTCATTGGCAAGCTCCTGCAGACAGTGGTAGATGACTCTTGCCCCAAGACTGAAACCTATGAGGCTGACAGGACGCTTCCCCTTCACATACACACAGAAAGAGAAGTGAGGAAGCAGCTTTCATCCTCATAATTTATACTGAACATAGTGGATTTACTCTCTCTAAGCATATGGTTCTAATTCAGGTTAATGAATCTTGTATTTCATTTATCTTTGAAGGAAACTATTGCAATTAATAACGTGTACACAAAATGCTACAATAAAGTGTGTACAAACAGAAGTAAGAGGTAGTGCTCTACCTGCTGTCTGCTTCTCAAAACCTGTGCCAGATGTTTCCCCACCTCAGCGGAGCGGTTCAGACAGACGCACCAGGGGTGGTCAATGACGCTGGCTGCTGCCAGCAAGGACGCCGGCCACGTCAGAGCCGTCACGATGCCTGCTCAGTGTGAAAGTATCAATTCAGGAAACCAAACAATCAATACAACTAAATGGCAACAGTTTGATAAGAAAGATGTGACTGTTAAGCAAATAAGCATCACTTTACAGGATACCACAAAGATTAGTTTTAGTGTGAAAGATTTTGGTCAATAACCCAAAACATTATATTCACGACAAGTACAAATACTCTAGTATCTAAACACAGATCCACTAAATAGACTAATCCTACATACATACTACTACATTATATAAAACATTTTCAAACTAAAGCTATCTCTGAACACATGATCGTTACGGCTCCATATCATCTTTAATCCCTGTCCATACTAACACACCTGAAAGCACATAACATATGACCACTCTCGTACACTGGGCATGCACTCATGTAAACAGGTATTGTCAGAGATTGCTCTAATAATAGCTTGTCTGTTGTTCTGTATCTGTAGCAAAGTTTTTCAAATGTAAAACGTAGTAGTGCGAATGTAGCCTCTGTGCTTTCTTCGTAATCAACCTCCTACCTGAGAGCACTGTGTACTTCAGAGCTTCCTGGGCCACGATGCTGACCAGCCCATCCAACAGAGACGCCATGGCCGAGCCCAGATCCCTGAGGAAACTTGACTCCCACACCAGGCAGTACTGTTCCCCGCACTCACCCAGACTGCACCATGGGGCTTGGAACGAACCTAAAAGACAGGAGTTGTGCTTTTATATAAGGCACTTGTATGTGAAGGGTGCACCAAGTAAGTGGAGTTGAGTGCATGTTTTAGAGGGCGAAGAGAGCTGCAATGTTTTATGTAAACTTAAGTGGTTTGTTTGTGTAATCTACTGCTTTAGCACATTGTGTGCAGAACTGTGTTGTGTTAATTTTGTATTTATTCTTTGTCTTATTTAACATTGTATGTAATTGACCTAGCTGAGACCTTGATCCTACCTTACAAGAACATGTAGATTATGCTTTTAAAAAGATCACAGAGAAAATACTGTGTATAGATGCCATCATAAATGCAACCTAAATTGCAAATATAACTGGTTCTTTGTGTACATTGATCTGTAGGGTTTTATTTACATTGCAAGAAAACAATCTTCATCAGTCAAGAGAACACTTCATAATTAATAAAGAAAAAACATTGCAGAATTCAATAACAAACAATAAATACATAGACCAGTAAGAATGATGACTGGAAGTAAAAAGTTGACAATGACATTGATATAAATAAATATTAAATAATATAAATATTAAATTGCATTCTACAGAGCTATTATAAGTATTAGTATCAATATTGCATGTATGTATTTCAATGTATGTTATATTGTAAATGAATCAGCAGCA